AATCAATTCGACTAGCTCCTTAACATTAATTTGCTCGGTGCGTAGTTTAGTCATCTAAAATTAACATTAATTTGCTCGATACGTAGTTTAGTCATCTAAAATTAACATTAATTTGCCCGATACGTAGTTTAGTCATCTAAAATTAACATTAATTTGATGCGTAGTTTAGTCATCTAAAATTAACATTAATTTGCTCGATGCGTAGTTTATTCATCTAAAATTAATATTAATTTGCTCGATACGTAGTTTAGTCATCTAAAATTAACATTAATTTGCCCGATAGGTAATTTAGTCATCTAAAATTAACATTAATTTGCTCGATGCGTAGTTTAGTCATCTAAAATTAACATTAATTTGCTCGATGCGTAGTTTAGTCATCTAAAATTAATATTAATCTTCTTGATGCGTAGTTTAGTCATCTAAAATTAACATTTATTTGCCCGATGCGTAGTTTAGTCATCTAAAATTAACACTAATTTGCTCGACGCATACTTTAGTCGTCTAAAATTAATATTAATTTGCTCGATGCGTAGTTTAGTCATCTAAAATTAATATAAATTATCTCGATGCGCAGTTTAATCATCTAAAATTAAAGCTAATAAAAATTTTACCCTCTCCCGTCAAAATTTAACAAATATTTGAATATAAGAGTTTATTTTTGCTAATCCTATTGCTTACTACTTTGTATAAATTTACAAGCAGAAAACGTGTATGAAGAGGTAAATAAGAATGAATGTAGATGAATATTTTCATAATATTTATCGACGTAAAATTGAAAGTTAAATCTTATCATATAACACTAATTCCTAACCCTAACCCTTCGTCTAGCACCTAGGCAATTATTGAGATATAATATAAATGTTGACTCAACTGAATAATATTATAAAATTTTATTTTCATCCCATTCTTAGATACTTTTTTATCGCGAATAAATGTACGTTTTTTAGATAAAAAACAAGTCTTTAGCAATCTTCGTATTTTATTACCTAAAGACCCTTCTTCGTTCTCTGATGCCAATATTGGTAAAATAAATTGATACTGAAATCAATTTAATTAGTGAATTCGAATTGTTATAAATATTTACTACGTTTGATTATTTTACCTGAGCATAATATTGATGTGCTCAATCGGTGTAAGGAAATCTCGGCTCAATTTCCAAATATTTTGATATAGTTTTATATTTTTGCATATTTTCCTATTGCAACATGTACGAATGAAAGGACCTTTTCCAGCTTGGGAAGACTCAAAACTTACCTACAAAATACTACTTCCGAATCTCGGCTAGATAGCTCTGTTAAATATCCACAGATGTTTAGTTCCAACGACCAGCGTCTACATGGCAGAAAATTTGATGGAGGCAAACCCCTTTAAAAAATTTACCCCTACCCCCCCCCCCCCAACTACTTGGTGAACTAATGTAAAAGAATCTTAAAACAAGCTACCATTTTTAATTTTACAACAAAATTTTATTTACTTCCTTTCAGTTATATTTAGGCTATAAAAAGCAATTAAAACTTAAATTCTTGCTAATAATATATCGGCAATTGCAAAGCTATTTGGGTCACTCTATTGAGATTGATTATTGAATGAGAAGAAAATATAATCTGTAAATCTTAAATAGTTTGGATCTTTGCTAATTATTAAATATAGAATATAGATAAAATTTATTTACCTATTGAAAATCTTATTTTTAATAATAATATTTAAAGTATTTTGCTAAAATTTTAAATGATTTATTGTATTCTAACTGAAATTATTATTAAATTTAATCATATATGTCAACCTCTATACTTTTAGAAAATTAACAAATAGGATTAATATTAATATATTACTTGTGATATTGTAAAATATTATTGAATAAAAAGACTTCATATTCAAAGAGAGAAAATTTATAGTTTTTTTTATCTCTTTGTCAGAATAAAATCAACGATAAACATCATAATCGTATTAAATATTGAATTTAAAAAAATACAATTCAAGTCAAAAATACCCCCCAAAAATAAATGTCTACCCCCTCAAAAAAATATATACTCCAAAAAATCTATACCTTCTCCTCAAAATGCCAATATATTTTAGATATATTTGTCTCCTACCCACCCCAGCCATGTAGAAACTGCCAAATACAAACGAAATTCTTGATGAATTGGCAAATTTCCCAAGAAAATAAAAATCACACTATAATTATAGTATTTAATAAATATTTTGTATAATATTGTATATGGTAATAAGTTATAATTTCAATAAAAAAAAAAATTTCCTTATATTGTACGAGAATTTAAGCTGAGGCTAGTTTTTAAAGCAAATTATATAAAAAAAATGACACTTAACTTTATTTCAATTTTACATTTAAAATTTTTTTTTATTAAATATAATATACCTAACTTAAAATAATAAAAATTGGGTTATAACCTTTATTTCTTCTTTAAATATCCATAAACGCGAATTAGTAAATAAAAGTTAAAAATATTAATACAATTATTATTGAATTATAAATAATTAATGGAATAGCTCAAACATATATTAATATAATTATTATTGAATTATGAATAATTAATGGAATAGCTCAAACATATGACCCGGTCAAATGCCGCGGAAAAGCTGGCCAAATATTAATATAATTATTATTGAATTATGAATAATTAATGGAATAGCTCAAACATATGACCCGGCCAAATGCCGCGGGAAAGCTGGTCAAATGCCAGCTAAATGTTTGGGGGCGAAGCCCACCCAAAAAATACCCCAACCTTCCATTTGAAAAAATATGCCACTGCAATATATAATTGTTACCCATATTCTATATATTATTCCGATAAAAATTATTTATTCCATTATTCATTAATTAATCAATTCTTATTTCAATTATTCCAAAATTATTATTTGAGAAATAATCAAACAATGATAATAAGTACAAATGATAATGAATAACGAGATCAACAAGCTAATGAGATAATAGGTAACAAGCTAACGATTAGAACAAACCAACGAAAAAGATATGACTTATGCAACAACTACAGTGGCAATAACGCTAAACAATGAATTGGACAAAACTATACGATGACCGCTCACTTCAAATTAAATCGAGGAATATTTTAAAAAAAGTGTGAAATGTTATACATTAGAAATATTAATAAATTAAAATATTGTTTAATTATATATTTGATCATTAGATAGAATTTATAAAATTTTATTTCATTCATTCACATAATTATTTTTCAATGTAAACATCTGGTGTAAAAATTTTGAAGTGATAGTACTGTATTGTATGGGTTGAATCATTAATAAAAAATATTACTATATCATACTGATCAGGTAAAAAATTTTATTTAATTATATCTTTATTTTACAGATTCTATGAACATTAAATCTCAATATTGATAGTAATCCTTATGACTTACACAGAATTTAAACTTAAAATCAGCCACCACCCACCCTTAAAGTAATTAAATTATATTGCAGTTATCGGGTATAGGCTCTTTTTATGCCCCACTCCTTTTTAATAAGCCTATATAGGTTTAAGTAACATTTTTCGAAATGTTGCGCCTATAAGTACGTGCGGCTTGCCCACAAACGTGTGGAGGACTCCTCATAATTTTACTTTCCAATTAGATGGATGAGTTCCAGGAATGGAAAGAGCTTTTGAAAACCGATCTTTTAAAAATTCTTTCTCCTCCTGGCATTCTTCATGGGATATATAAGAAAAATGAATATTTTTTATATTTTCCTCAGCGAATTTGAAGAAATCGCAAGGAAATTTTATTTGATTTTCATAAGGCAGTTGTAAACTGGCCCGTGCAGCCAATCGTTTCACATTTCCTCCTATTCCATCGCAGGCACTTTCCCATGCGCAGTAGCAAAGAAATGCCATTCTGCTGAGATAGCGAAGTCTACCTGATGATAACACAAGGTTATAAAATTTTTCCTGTTTTTATATTGGGCCGCGGACCCATCGGAATAATATAAATGTATTTAGGCTCTGATAAAAAGTATTTTTTTGAGAAAGTTTATTAATTTTTTTTGAAATAAATGAAATAAGCACATATTATGTTCCAGCGACTCGGATATGGCAACATAACTTATGATTCAATGAATTATTAACTTTGTAATATAGATAATTAATTTAAATCATATATATTTATTTTAGAATACTTGCACTATCTAGCGGAATTTTTATTTTTGTGCAGAAATGCGATTTTATTCAACAAATATTATATTATAGGATATAAATATAGGTAGATTGACTTATATTTTTTAAAATTAAATTTTAAGCTATTTAAAATTATTAACGCTATCTAGCGGTTTTTTATTTTTAATATTTTTTCTACCTAATTTTTTTTTACCACTCTGAAAATTTTTATATGAACAGTTCTTGATACTCTTTATAAAATATCTGAAAAGAAAAAAAAATTTATACTAACATTTAAAAAAAATAATTACAAATTTTTGACCGCAATTTTAAAAAAATTTATAAATTAAAAATTAATTCCATTTAAAATATGTGGAAGAGTTTGCTTAGGGCTATAAAATGAGCCATGATAGATAAATATACTACATTTAATATTAAAGTTATCCCAATTTTAAAAAATCATTTTTTTCGAAAAATGATCTCGCAGAGCTACTTTGAGACCCTATATCTCCGGTTCTAGTAGTTAAGGGGCTAATATTTTGGATTCGTCAATTACAACACTTCATTAACTTATATACCAAATTTCAGCAAAATCTGAGATGGTCGAGTTGTAAAATGATTGATTTGATATGGAATGACCCTCCATCATTAATTTAAATTAACCACCCCCCACTCCTATTTCAAACTCCTAGAGATTAGCAAAGCCTGGACCCCACAAATTTTTTTTACACAGGTTAAATTAATTTAGCTAAGCCCATAATTATTTTTTTGTGAAGGAAAAATCATAATATCTAATTTAAGATTAAACTACATTTTTTTTATGGTACAACAAAATAAAATGTATCATTAATTTTTTCACATCAATATCTACCTCACATACATTTTATTTTGAAAAAAGTTTCATAAATATAAGCATCCAAAAAAATATAGCAAATACTAATATTAAAATGAACCAAACCCAACAAGGATTTGCTTTAGTTTTTGTGATATCTAATTGATCACTTACACCTTTCAATTTTTCTAAATTTTTGGCTTGAAGATTTGTTGATTGAAATAAGACCTGATATGAATAAAACATTTATTTATATATAATATATACCACCTTGTTATCTTTTTTAATAATAGTTGAAGCTAGACTAACATTATTTTTTAAATTTTTAACCAAATCAACCATTTGTTCTGATAGAGCCTCCTGAATTTTGGAATTAGTTTTAAGAAATGCAATTTTATCAATATCGTCTAAGTCAATATCATTGTCATAAGCATTAGCTTAAATTTCTTAAATAAAATTAATAAAAAATTAAAGATACATTTTGATAAAAGGCGTGCTCTAAGGTTATTTTCTTTTTCAGAAGACATTAAAACATATAATTGTTTAATGGATGTTGTTGAGTTTTTAGGATATGCTATGTTAACCTCATTTTCTGGTATATTAATATCAATCATTGATTTTGAAAAACTTTCTGAATCATCACATGTTTCCTAACCTTAAATATTGGAATAAAAATTGTATAATTTGTACCACATTGCTCAAACAAATTGGTGGTAAGCTTGAAGCCTTAATCAAAGATTTTAGGTAACTTAATTTAGTATTGTACTCATTAATATTTTCTTTTGGGCGTTGACTATGATAAAATATATGATTTCAATCGAAATTAAAATTACAATGTTGATGTTGTCATTAACTGTTGTAGGTATAAATCCAATGTATCTATATACTAAACTTATCAATCAATCATCATAAATAAGCTATAAAATTACCGATTTAAATCTCCATTGATTATAATTTTGAACTGATACCATATTCTCACAAACTTGCATAAGACGAATAAAGTTGATTTCAATCATATCATATCATATTATACACTGGGGAGACATCCCACAATTAAGTGGGCACTCCACCACCCCATAGAGGGCGTCTCCAGTGCAGTGAATTTGCATTCACCGTTTGGCAGAAAATTTACCCTACTGTCTGGGTCCCGTTTAATTTGAGTGGGATGACGGGTACCACTCGTGGATAAGCCAGGATCCACAAAGTTGACAGTAATTTACCCTACTGTCAGGGTCCCATTTAATTTGAGTGGGATGACGGGTACCACTCGTGGATAAGCCAGGATCCACATTGTAAATAATGTTTATTTATTAAAAAAAATAAGATAGGAATATGTATTAGAAAAAAGGGGGGGGGATGATTAAGGAGTAAAGAGGAAGAAGAATTAGTTTTTGTAATTTATTTATTTATTTTTTTTTGTTTTCTCTTCTTTTTTTTTTAAATATTATTGGTAATAAGAGATTCTTGTGTTAAAATAATGTTAAAATCATATTGATCAAGGAGTTTCCTAAGTATAGTTGTTTTTGAAAGTAGGCCAGGAATGTTGTAGGAGTAGATTGTTAGATTTTTGAAAATTGACATAATATAAATTTTAAAGTAAATTGTAAGATAAATTTGAATTTTGAAATAGAAAAAAAAATGGGGAAAAAATAAGCAGACGATACTTGGAAAATTGAAAAAGCAAAAAGCAGACAAGAGAAATGATAAATAAGAAAATATCCATGAAATTGAGTTTTAAGAGAGGATTAAAGTTAAATTTTGTTTATTAAATGTTGATTTATATTATTTTGTTTAAATTAAGTTAATAAGATTAATATATAGAAAAAATAAATTGTTAAAGGAAATAAATAATTGAAATAAAAGATAAATAAATGATTTATAATGGTACTTGCTAAACTTTATAGTAGCTTAGGTAAAGAATTGGAGAAGATAAGAAAGAATTAAGTTATGATGATTGAGATAAATTAGTAAATAGAGAAGAGAATTTATTACTTTGAATCTAGAAAAAATAAAAAAATTAATGAATAAAAGTAATAACTTGACAGATATATTATGTATAATCCTCAGCAATTGAAAAAGAGTCTCATTACTCTCCCCATCTTCCATGCATTTGAAAGAATTTACTAGTTTTGATTCAGAAGAGTAGAAGTCAGGCTTTTCATGTCATAAAAAATGTAAGTAGTCGCAAAGTAAATATTTAAGGAATTTAGTGTGCTTGAAAATGAAATTGTGAGTGATAGAAGTATTTGTAGAATTGATAGATATCATTATTTCTTGGAGGTGGCGATTTAACATCAGCCATTTTCCCGCAGACGAAAAAAGTCTTTCAAAAGTTGATTTCAATATTTGACATAGACATTAAAGTTGCAAATAGAGCTTATGATAAAATAAAACATACGTACGCCTATCATATTACCTGCCAGATGAGAAGGTAATTGTATAAAATTATGTTAGATTTTTTTTACGAGGTTATATGTGTTATTAAATATACAACAAAAGTGAGTGAACAAACAAACATTTTATATAATAAACATATTAAATTTAAAAAATGGAAAGCAATTAAATAAGCTTAAATTTCATGTTTAAATATTACAAAAGATTTTAAAAATAAAAATTTTATATGATGAAAAGAGAATTCAAGGATATATCTTTAATTAATTGAGGGCGATATGGCAACGCACATCATTAATAATTGCCACAGATGTGTGAGTTTAGTAATGACAGAAATTTTAACTAGTCCAAATTAAAGTTTAAATCCTACCTTTCCCAAAAAAATCTATACCTATGTAATAAGACACATTGGTACAAAGCATATACGTAGCCAGGGGGGGGGGGCAAGCGGAAATTCCCCCTCTTCAGAAATTTATCACTTTTTGTAAATATCATTTTTAGCTAATAAAAAATATCTCCCTTAGTCCTCCCCCCCTCCCTGACCCTCAAATATGTATGCATCTTAAATAATAATTTAAAAGAAAGAATGTAAAAGTTTATATTTTTTTATAAAACTATTCATCATAATTTATAGATTTTTGGGAAAATAAATTTATAAATATATAAAATGAACCAAAAATGTTTTTTAATAAATGGAATATAAGCCAAAGATAAGTCTTAAGACAGAAGTGAATTGTATTATAATTATTAATAATAGATACATAAAATTAATAAATAATATAATATATCAAATATAATTTTTTATAAAGTGAGTAATTTCAATTTATTAATCTTAATAAAAGTTAAATATAATTTAAAAACTATTAATAAAATTAAATCATAAATTAAAAAAATATTAAAGCACAATACAAACAGGGGAATATTATATGTCGTAGATTTACAGTATATCTAATTATCAAAATCAAGTAATTTTTACCTATATAGCGAATAATCTATTTTACAGATAACTATAAAATATTGATAATGACATCAGAAAATATCTTTTAAAGACATTGTGGGATGAATAATATGAAAATTAAATTTAAATATCATTTTTCTTAAAATAAATAGATGGCGTTAAATAATTGAATGCAAATTGATGCATATTTAATATCAAGAGTAGTGATGTTAAACGGATCGTTTTGAGCCGATTTTTAAAACGGCTAACTCAATACTTCATCCAAAAAAATATTACACAAGCCTGAAGATTTTGCTCATAGAAGGAACAAAGGTCTATACATATATTATCGAAATCTTGAGGCTTAGGCAATATTTTTCTGGCTAAAATATTGAGTTAGCCGTTTTTTAAAATCGGCTCAAAACGAGCCGTTTAACAACACTAATCAAGAGCATTGATTAGTAAAATTTGTTAAATTATTAACTGTAATATATTCTCTAACTGTCAAATATGTCTGTAAAGGTGGAATTTTACCTAGTATTTTATAACTAATTCTATATAATAGAGTAAAATCAACTATATGTCTACTTACTTTTTATAAATAAATTACTTATAATTGTTTGGAATAAATTATTACCATGCTTTTATATTAAGGTATATACAATACAAGTTATTTATTATATTTTTATTTTATATAAACTAATAAAAATATATTTCATATAAACTAATAAAAATATATTTCATATAAACTAATAAAAATATATTTCATATTTGTTCCAGGCTTATATTAAAATTTGTAAAAATATTTATGATTATATAGAGACTAAAGTAACCCGGCCGAAGGCTGGAAAAAGCGGGCCGAAGGCCCGCCTAAAAGGGGGTCTGGGGGCGAAGCCTCCAGTAATTTTTTAATTCCCCCCCCCCTTATGAAAATCCTGGCTACGCCTTTGGTACAAAGTGCAACTATCTCCCGTGTAAAATTTTTATGCTTGGGCATTAATTCTTCATAGTGCTTGTAAAAATTTGAGTGGGGATACCTTTTTTTTAAATTTAATTTTTTACTGTTTTACTACACCCATCCATAACCAAATTATTTCAGGTTTATTATATCGGACTCGGCCTTGTGATTACGTTATTTATTTATATTATATATTAAAGATTATGCAATTATAATTATTTTTGAAACTTATGGGTGTTAAAAAATAATAACCCATTTTTCCGAAGGGGAGGGGGGTATTTTTCTTGGGGTATTTTAGGGGCCACTGTGAAGACTGTTGGTAATGTGTGAAAATTTCAAAATATTACAGGTTTCATCTACATGTGCATAGTAAATATACCGCTGGCTTCGATATATTTGGGCAGATCAATTTTTCGAAGTCTCCGCAAATTAGGATTTCATCCAAAAATATAAAATAATTTTAAAGTCAATTTTACATAAAATCATATAATAAATTTGAGAGACTTACCATGCCCGGACCTAAGTTCGGCCCGGCATTTTAATTTTTTTAAATATACCCGGGCCAGGCCGTATATCTTAAACCAAATATTTAAAATCGCCATTATTAGCTATAAAAATCAAAAAAAAATATTATATATTTTAAAATAATAATGGATAGATTAAAATATATTTGTCCCCTTGTAAAAGATCGTATATTCATCAAATTAAAAATTTAATTTATAGTTTTAAACAGGGATTCCAACCGAACTAGCCTGGAAGAAACCCCGGGTTTTTAGGGAAAAAATCTGAACCCGAACCAAACCTGAACTCCATTTATAAAATTTTCAAAACCCCGAACCGAACCCGGGTTCAACCGGGTTTAGTGTATTGTTAAAATCATATATTAAGATATTTGTATAATTGATAATCCAAATATTAATAATTTAATTGAGATTTTATAATATTTTCAAATTTCCAATTAAGTGAAATGTTAAAAAATTTTAAACATTAATTCATTTATGCCATTTTTAAATTTTTAAATTTATTCTTAAAGATTCCTATTATTGGGATGAATAATTTTTAAACAATTAAAATCATTTACGCCATTTATTTTTAATTTTTAACTTATTCTCAAAGATTATTAATTAGAGGAAAATGAAAGTGTAAAAGTCAAAGTAAAAATTATTATATTGGATTCTTAATGAATTATGTCTAAATAAAAATTTTTAAATTGATACATGACTTATTTTTAACTATATTTTGCCTATGAATAAAATAAAAAATTTATTTTTATTTATGTCTAGTTTTTTAATTATGATTTAAATATAGAATTTTTTTTATCAATTGAAAATTTTTTAAATCCGAGCTGAACCCGGATCTAAACCCGGGTTCAATAATATTTCCTTGAACCGAATCCATCTATTTTTTTACCTTAAACGGAACCCGGGCGATAATTTCAGCGGGTTCGCATCTTTAGTTTTAAATAAACAATAAATGCTAAGATTAATTCACTACCTAAAAACCAATTTACTATGGGCGCATCTATGGGGGAGGTTAGAGGGTTAACCCCCCCCCCTTGGCTAAAAATGTTTATCTTATTTTTCGTTGTTTTAATATTATTAAGTAACCCAATGGCCCCTACACTTTTTGAGAGATGGAAACAGAATACCCCCTTGAATATTACCACCCCCCCCCCCCTCACTCAAAAAATGGTTAATTATTTTTTGACACCCATAAATTTCAAAAATATTTTTTATTGCATCAATCTTTAACATATAATATAAACAACAAAAATTATAATATATACTTTAAAAATAATATTTTTAAATTAATAATTTAAACAAACTAGTAGAAAGCCCGTCAAAAATAACGGGGAATGAGATTTTTATTTTTACGATAGATGTCATGCTTGGTCCAAGCTCACAATAATAGTAGGCATATAATTTTAAAAAAATTTATCCAGCCCAGCTCAACCCTTAATAATTTGTTAAAGATTTTCCCATGTCAGGTGCAAGCTAATATTATATTAATTTTGAGGTTCCAAGCCCAATCGTATCCAATATAATTTTGAAAATTTTTTCCCACCTCGGAGATAGTTAAATTTTTAATTGATTTATCATCACATGAAGGGGAATTATCTGATTTACCAATTAGTTTAAGGTGTAAAAAAGAAACATGTGAATTCCGTATTAAGGGAAACTGGGAAGGCCCGGGCAAACAACTTATTAGAGAATCATGACAAATAAAATTTAAATAACCGACTCTTATACTTTTTGGTAATATGATCAATTATAATTATATATAATAAATTGTTGTTTATTATATAGGGTTATTGTAGCTTTTCGGATAAATTTAATGTATGTCTTGCATTTCCCAAATTATTTGTCTATATTTTATGTTAAATAAAAAAAAAAATGCTATCTATTTAAATAACAAAAATTCCATTAAACACTAATGAAACTTATATGCAAATTATATATATATTTTTTAAGAAAATATTTTTTATTGACATACAAATTTAGGCTAATTTTTTTTTAAAAAATAATGAGGAATAATTATTATGTTGTGTATTTGTTGACATTTTTATTTTTGATGGAAAAAGCGACAAAATAAATCTGGAAGGTTGTCTGGAAATATAATAATTAATGTACAATTTCATATCATTTGGGGTTGTAGATGAAAGTAATGACGGATTACCAAAAAACACAATACGTCCTGATAAAGATGAGTCATACATATGCCTATGCCTTGGGATACTGGTAAAAGAAGAACGCAAAATTATTTCTGTCAATGTCAGCATTGGTAGCCTCCTCTAAAATAGAATCATGAACGACAATGTTAACTCAACCATAAAAAGGTAGTAAGAATTGTTATAAAGGCCACGACAGAACTACTGCATATTTTTCCATTAATAAAGTTGATGAAAATGGCCGTACTGCACGTTCAAGTTTAACATTCCTCTAAATAATCATGAAAGTTTCTCAGAAAATCGGATAAAGTAATATTTATAATAACTCCTGGTGAAGTGAATGATAGTACGGAATTGAATGCTTATATTTGTTAAAAATAGGCAGAGGTAGCATAGGGATTGTGGTAGTGGTGATAGAAATATCATTTGGAGGCAACTGGATGAAAATA